AACCCGTCTGACTTCTGGTTCCTAAACTGAACTCTTACTTGCATGGTCGCTATTTTCAGAGTAATGATGAAGTCCTCAATGCTGTTGAAAGAAAAAAAATAGTCTCCTGTGACATTGTCTGGTGAGGCTGAGAACTTCATGAGGTACCCTGACATGCACTTGAGATGCCCATGATGCTTTGGAACTGGTTTTAAACAGAACTAAATATGTTGGTTCCGACATAAACATGGAGGCTTAAGTTTAGCCACAAATAATGCAGCAATTTGCAATTCTGAGACAACTTTTGGAGTTATATGCCAGCACAGCTTAGATTCTTTAAATCTCATTGAGGCAGAGCTTTAGTGGAGCTTTGGGGGGTTTAACAGCTAACAGGAATTAGATACACAGGAATTATTAGTGCAACTTTTACCAGTAACTTTAAGGCTGTGATGCAAAGGAAAATCAACAACTCTTGTAATGCGGTTAAGTTAATGAGAAAAAGAGAAATGTTTAAAAACTGCTTCACTTCTGTTTGGTGTTGTTTTCCATAAAAATGATTTATGCACTGAGCTCAGTAATTCCTGTTGTCCGTGAGGTCTGTTCAGATGATTCTGTATTGGTGATAATTAGGACATTAGCTAATGTTTCCAATCAGTGAAACAGTGATTCATCTAACAGAGGTGACATCCAGGAAAGGTCACATAAATTATTCTTTGTTTTGAGCTTCACAGCGCTGCATTTCAGTCCTTAACAAACAAAAACATGTAGTCCTTCAGCTCCATAAATCACCAGATTTGAGGATGTGAAGTTTTCACCTTACTGCATAATGTACGTGACAAATCACCGTAGCAACGAGTACTCCATCCTAACATTACTTTCTAAAGCACAATTACTGTCAAAGTTTATTTGATCCCAGATACTAGATGCTAAATAACTTCAGCGGTTTACCCACCCCTCCTGTGAATCATGCAAAAGCCACAGATAAAACTCAGCATTATGGGTAATCTGGTCTGCACAGCAATTAAGTACAGGATAAATGTCGACATGTCGTGTAACTGAGCTGCAGCGCTGCTGGCATGCAGGGCAGGAGCGGCCTGAGAGTCTGACATGTTTTTCCCAGTGATATAAGACTTAATGATGTAAAGTATACCATTTTGGGTTTGTGTATTACATGTGTAGGGCTGTGTGCACACATATCCAAAGCTGGATTACAGACAGGCAAAAATATGAATGTGTTCCAGGGCTGCAGATATCCACAGGACCCAAAGCCTCAGGTTTACTTGGTGTCATTTAATTGAGTTTAACTGCAGTTTGTTTTTTTTTTTTTTGGATGGATATGTTCCATTTGAACAGTGTCAATACAAATGATCGATATGTGTGTTTCTGCATTATAAATCTAAGTCTTAGTCATCAATCCTGTTCATGATAGTAACTTTGTGCAGGTTAATTGCTAAAATGAGGATATGATTGATCTTATAAGAGTAATAAAAAATAAAACTTGCACCAATAATACTGTTGACTGTCGCTATTTCTAGTGAGGAATTAATTATGGCCAGTGAGGTAAAAATAAATAAAAACGCAATGCATTTACTTAAATGTCTGACTACACATGGACAACTTTAGAGGCACAAATTCCACATGTGGCTTCACAATCATGCTATATTATTAAAATTACAGCAACAGCCAAGCTACTCGGTTTACCGTCCCATCAGACCAGTTGATGAAACACATTTGGTTGTCGGGCAACGTAGGTTTTAGGCGGCTCCATTAGCAGAAATGGAACATAATATTCAGAATTTTGTTCTCATTAGCGTATAATCATCTGAAAACAAGAATGACTGTTGGAATGAGCCTGTTATCCTACAGAGCGAGCCGGTTCTCTTGCACAGCGTTCCACTGCCATGTTCCTACAGTAACCAAACACTGGCTCCAGAGGGGGTCTTTTGCGTTTGTAGTTGCCACTGTTGATTCTCCAGCATGCATGGAGGGAAAGGTGAAGGAGACTCTGCTGATTGCAATCTGAAACCTCACTGCTAGATGCCACTAAATCCAACACACTGGTCCTTTGAGGGATTGAAAAAAAAAACTCAATGATATGCTGCTACATTGAGCACCATGTTTTTAACCCTCACAACTCTGCAGTAAATCAGCCGCTTAATATTAGTACACATTCAAAAACAACCCTGAATAATAGCCATCAGTAGTAGCAAACTATTTGTTTTACAGGGTTGTAAAACTTTATGTGAAGAAGTGTAGTTTGTGTCTTTCTGTTAAGTTTAACTAGTGTGAACTGATTAGCTGGAATCTATCTAATGAGAAGTGCAATGAGACTGGCTGCTGTCATGTTAAGCTCCCTACCTGATCATATGCAGACTTTTAGTGTGGAGAGGTGGACATGAACCACACACATTCTGTTTTCTCTATTAAGCCCACTGGCTACAGAGAACACTGTACTTGTTAAAGTTAACCTGCCTGATCAAAACAAGCTGCCTGTTGAAAAGACATTAATTTACAGAAGTTATTACCTGAGCGATTCCTCCTTCCAGGGGCCATCTTTTCCTGGAGGTCACAGAGGGGTCACGCCTCCAACACAGCTCTTTCATAGGTTCACTGAGTAGGTGGGATCTCAGAGATGATTGGATCATAGATTTGTCCTGATTGGCCAGTTTAAACTGACAAAGTAAGCTCCTTCCTTATTTATATGAGTGTCCTGTGAAAGAAGCTATGGAACGGTTTATTCAGAAGGCAGAATAATGCAGCATTACTAACTGTTGGATGCATTTTGTGATTCTTTTAACCTAAATTTGCTATTTTTGTGACTTTTTCTTCCTTTAGGAGATTTGCTGCTTGTTTAAAAACTGCAAATAATCAGCTTCGTATTTTTCCAGCACATTTTTTCCTGCCAGCATGATGTTTGTCCTCCACATGACTCACCTGCATTCCTCCTTGCCAGACAAAGACTTTTCATTTATGCCTAATAAACCAGAGGGTAAGAGTGAGTACATATAAGAAGCACAGAGACTGGAAGCAGCAGGATGTGATGTCACAAACATGTATGTGTTAAAAAAATAGCATTAAATCCTACATTTATCACAGCAAAGAAATGTAAAAATATATGAACCCCTTATCATTCCAACGTCCCACCGGAGGGACATGACTACCTTACAAAAACATTACGGTCATGTGTGCACCTTTATTTTCAAGAATGAACTTAGGTGAGGATCAAAAAAATATATATTTTTTGTGATTATTAAAATTAAATAACTTTTTACTGGTAGCACCTAGAATGATTCTGATTGCTGTGGCTAAAACTAGAGAGTCTTATCTTTACATAAAACCTTTATATACACTCCATAAGGGTCAGTAGCAGCATTCATTGTAATTTAGAGATGTCATTTTACAGGCGGTTGCATTAAAATGACCCAGAATGATAACTGTGACACAACTAACAAGCAGCTATGTAATGAGGGCAGCCGTGTCAATGATGGCAATAAAAAAACACAACATGTCCGGGCAGTGACTTAATAACAATATGCACACACTAATAATACATGTAGGGTTTGAACAATAGGAGGTATGAACCATCCAGTAATGTCAGTTGAGAACTTGAGGTAAATAAAACAAGCCAAGCAGTGTTTAGCATGACATGGGTCAAGCTGCTGATTCACGATTCATTACATCCCATTTGATCAGAACCAGTACTGCTTAGTGCTCATAAAAATGTAGCTCATGAGTTGCTCCCTCTTTCCTAGAGTTGGTAAAAGGCCAAGTCAGTGAAATCCAGATTAAAAGGTAGATAACAAGAAAAGACAAACAAACACCAAGCCCAGCCCACGGATAAGCCATAAACTGTAGCTCTGTTTAAGGTTCTGTAGAAATCTACTGATGGTTCAGAGGTGGTTGGAGCTCTGCTGGACCAGGTCGCAGCACTCGGTGAGCTCGAGTGAAAACGATGCACACAGAAGACAAACATAAGGTGAACACATCTACCTTTAATGAGCCTCGTAATAATAATAATAATAATACATTTTATTTAATAAGGCGCCTTTCACGGCACTCAAGGTCGCCTTACAATAAAAGCAATACAACATACAATAGCAGACAATAGATACGTAGCAGATTCATAGTCATTTTCTTAAGTTAGACTGTTCAGATTCTTTGCCGTAATAGTACGAGAGCTCTTGGGCAGGTACTGCTCTGCTCCCTGCTGCTCCTCGTCTCCCAGAGCTCAATTAAGTCGAGTTACTTAATCTCTGACACACGGTGGACAAGCAGCTGTCTAATTAACATCCACACTGAACATAATCAGATAAGTGCCATTAAGAATCAATGGGGTTTTTTTTGTTGTGCACATTAGATGTAGATTTTTAGCGGCTAAGCTGACAACGAGTTTGAAAATGTAACTTTTTTAATAACAGTGCTACATTTGTTGTGCATTAAAAATAAAAGAAACTGTTTTTTAATTGCATTTCGCAAGTTGTAGCTCTATTTCACAATAATACAACACAGAACTCTGCTGAACCATTGTACGAGGTCAGGTCTGGACGTGTCATATTATTTCTCAAAGATAAACTAGTACAGTTCATTCCTCTCTGGTATAAATGGGAGTATAAGAAAGTTACACATATACATCAGTGTTTTCTTACTACCCAGTCTTTGCGCACTTATCTTCCACTTGTGTGCTATGAGAAAGCCTCCATGTTCTGACCACTGTGTGTTCCTGATACTGACCTCACTCCTCCATTGCTGCATAACTACTTCCCATAAAATGACTCATGGCTTTACTACAAGAGACAATGAAGTCCTTAACGTGGTGACAGTGGCTCTTTGGAGCACAACACATGAAAGCGTTTCCCCCACGGCTATCGCCATAATCTTTGATAGTTATAATGACCTCATGAGAAACATTCATGTGCAGTTGCAGTGAAGCAACAGAGCAGTGTTGCAACTCATCAAAGGCATCCACACAAGCAGAGACTTGTCGTACCGTCCTTCTCTTACTTTCTCTCCGTCACACACTTCCTTCCATCCCCTTGTTATTCAGCTTTCAACACCCTCCACAGTCTCCAACCTTCCTGGCAATCCACACTTCATAATTCAGTAATGATTAACTGTCTGTCCACAGAGGTCTGAGGAACGATATATAGATACACTGAAGTACAAGATAAGGACTGTGACTGCGCTGAAGACCAGCTGAGGAGAAGCAACAGTCCTCCAGAGGTCAGTTTTCACTCAAAGACTTTAGAAACATGCGGGTAATAAATCAGACCAAGGTTCCTCTGTGTCTGCTGAAAAAAACTGTGTTAAGAGCTCTTTTAATTTCATGTTTTTTTTATGTTACAGTGAAATGCAAAATAGCTGACCATGGGGTTCACAGGATTGCACGTGCTCTGTCTTCTGTCCGCGCTCACTCTTACGACACAAGGTATGGATGTATTTTTTTAAGCATCTGTTACAAATGCGTTGCAGCTTCTTAACTTATCTGAGTTACCACCAGTAACGCTGCTCATGTTAAGACACACAAATGAAACTTCTGTTTCCGTTAAATCTCAGCACATTTATGTGTTCGTCCTCAGATTTGGTGGACCTCACTGTGAGCCCCTCGGTGACGGCGGAGTGCGACCAACAAGTAACCCTGAACTGCGACGTATCCCCGCATCAGCATGGACTCTCAATAACGCACATGGAGTGGGTCCACGATAAGACGCAATTATGCACTGTGAACAGCTCTGGGGAATTAAACCCGCAGAACAAACATTCCCTCGGCGACTTCAAGTGTGAGTACGACGAAGGAAGAAGACTGACCCTCACCTTTCCACATGTGGGGCCTCTGAACAAAGGAACCTACAGGTGCAAGCTCCGTTCCAACCGAGGAGCGCCGTATAAATATACAGCGGTGGAGTTACAAGGTCAGAGTCCGCATTTGTTCCAGTTCAAACAAACAATATTTCCCAGCAAGCATTTGTTTGTAACAGTTGCTGCCATGAATGTACAAAAGAAGAAGAAAAAAAATGCTTTTATCTTCAGTTATTGTGTGACCAAAAAAACATGTTTTTCCTTGAGCTCTGCTTTCACTTCATTAGAAATCGTGCACCTTTGATAGCAGCAGTCTATTTTCCTGCCTTTGTTTTCAAATTCAAAAGAATAGTGCGAAACAATAGGCAGGACTGCATCACCTGCATGCACGGGCAGAAAAGAAAAGCGCTCTATTGCTACGAAAAGTCCCGTAAATGTGAGACTCAAGTTAGGCAGACGGAGGATGAGCATGAGCAAAATTAAACTGTTGCAACTTGACAACCTAAAAGTTATCATAATAAGGCAGAATAAAGATGGATGCACTCAAATAATGTGCCTACATGATGCAGTCAAGCGTAGCACTTAAATAAATGCACTTGCTGCTTTCCCCTCGTGGTTGGTAAAAGTGAAAATGAATGATGTATTGTCAGTTTACGATGCTTTCAACTGCTGGATGAGAGCATGAATGTCCCCAGTGTCTTGCACATCAACCAGCCTCTCAACAATCTTCTCGTGGTTTTCCTCCCTCAGAGTGCCGTGGGAAAGTTGATGCTGATTTCACGAGTCGGGGTCCTTCCTGCACCTTCCACCGGGTCCACCCAGACGGAGAAGTGCACTGGTTTCACGGCTCCCACAATCTCTCAGACGGGTTTCTGCCGATCCAGACTTCTAAAAGCGTGGATGAACAGGGTTATCTGACTATCCGTAGTGAGCTGACGAGCACAAGTTCCAATGTGCCTCACAATTGCTCCTTAAAGAGCATCAGGTCTGGTAGGTACATTGAAAGTACTTTGGTTAAAAATGAATTGCTTGCCAGAAGTTATCCCGTAGCCTCTCCACCTTCAACCTCAAACAATGGCGTCAGATCACAGGAACCTATACGGACAATTTTATGTGTTTTAATCTTCCTTGCTGCCATAATGAAATAATGGATTTGCCAAAGTAAATCAGAGAGTCTGATCAGCTGAAGTGATGATTAACACTGATTAGAAACAATGAGGTACTGACATTTATGTAGTTTTCTTTTTTTTTTTTTTTCAAAAACCCGAGCAACAGCACTCCGAGTTAAGTGACTCATCTTGCATGGTCCAAAGGTTCATTTTTCTCCCTTTTAGCTCCTGGGTGAAGTGAACAAGAAAATTACAGAGTGTTGAGAGGTGATAACAAGGGAGTCGATAATCATTACACTGTATAAAATACCTTTGTTGGTTTGTTTCGACAGAGCGTCACGGATGAGAGAGCAAGGCATATTGGTTTCATTAGAAAACAACAAAGACGTGCACACTGACAGAAGGCACGCACTCGCTCGCATAACTGGAAAAAGCAAAGTCTGCTACTGGTTCAATTTAGTCTTGAGCTATAAACCTTCGAACCACAGATTAGGGTCAGTAAGAGAGTGAGATGAAAACATCCGTTGACAGGTGTGTACATCGTTGTGTAACTGCAGAGTGAATGAACGCTTTCTGTGAGAGCACCACGAAAACCAAATCTTTCACAGAATGCAGACCACAAAAGATGGACTCTCGTGCAATTTTCGTTCACAAACAGAAGCTTTATAGTTTGAAATGTCAAATCGCAGGACACACAGACTGTCAGTGGAGGTAACAGAGCTGCTTGTGGTTTGTGGATGGATGCTGCCCTCTGGTGAACTACGAGTAACAAGACAAGTAGTTTTTTGTGGAAAGGCAATAGAAGTAAATTTAACCCTGTTCAGGACTTTCATGTTGCCGAACATAGAAGGTCCACTGGAAGTATTTGTAGGTATTCATTATAGACTTTTATACAATGTTAAATACGTTTTCTGATAAGTTGAAGTATTTTTGGTTCCAAATGCATGACAAATGTTCCTCTTTTTATATTAAAAAAATCTTCAAAAATAAAAAACAATTACAATACCTGTCACCTAAACCAAATGGCCTGAGGTCCAAAAAACCCCAAAAGTCCTGAATAGGGTTAAAGTGTTGATTTATCCAAATTAAGGCCATTTTTTAAATTTTTATTGTTTCAGTTTACATCAGCTTTGGATATAGTTTAACCTTCTGTGACAGGGGTGGGCAATCCTGGTCCTCGAGGGCCACAGTCCTGCATGTTTTAGATGTTTCCTTCTTCCAACACACCTGATTCAAATGATCAGGATCGTTATTAGGCTTCTTGATGATGAGCTGATGATTTGAATCAGGTGTGTTGGAAGAGGGGAAACATCTAAACCATGCAGGACTGTGGCCCTCGAGGACCAGGATTGAACACCCCTGTTCTATGATAAGGAGGTGAAACACTCGTGGTGCCTATAGGCTTGTAGAAATTACACGAAAAAGAAGTCAGTGATTCTACATGGGGCTATTTTTTGTAGTTTACACAGTGAAATCTGTGGATTATCCAAAGTGATGGGGAGATGGTGGCAAGCAAATACCATCTCTCACTCTCTGTATGGCTACACAGCACCAGAGGTACGTGAGATTTGGGGGAACCCTTTCAGTTTACACAGTACTTGCATAATACTGAAATATATGCAAGTGTCCAGTTACGGCTCATGTCCAGCTTAAACTGTATATGAGTTGCTTTTCATTTTGATTAAGATCAGCACTAAGCATGAGCAAGAAGACGGACACAAATCATTTCCCATCTTCCGTTTGCGCTCAGCCTCTCCCCACTCAAGTCTCTGCAGGTATAACTCAAAGCCAGAGGACAAACCCAGCTCCAAGGCATAAACGCAGCCCTTTTTACCGGCTCAGTGCACTCCCTCTTCAGACAGGACATTTGAGAGCCTTTTCAAGTAAGGATGACTCTCTACTAATGGTGTCACTAAATCGGTGCCGTGCAGGGGGAAGGTTGAGCTTTTAGCAAGACAGCGATGCGGCTGAGATGCCACGAGTAAACCAATTCGAGGTCACCTTGACTGTTCCAGAGCATCCAGACGCACAAAAACACAGCTGTGTTGAGCTCATTGCAGGGGATCCTACACTGACTTACATCATGTTTCCTGGAGGTTATGTCACCTCAACCTTAACACAAGACTTCATCCAAAAATGTAATGATATACTTCATTTAAGGGGGGAGGGTAACTTTGCAAAGAGATTTATGTTGCACACACACACACACACACCAGTCCAAATTTACTTGCTGACAACTTAAACATCCGTGTTGCTTTTAAAGAGTCTGGGGTGAAATAATGATCTTTCAAAAGCATAATTGTGAAAATATTGCTACTGACAAGAATGTAATGAGACATACTCAGCTTACAAATATTTAGCAGCTCACGATTAAAGCAATTTAGATAAATAGTCAAAAAGCTAATGCTCAGATTGAATGAATGACAGTTTTTTAAATAATTCCTTTCATTCAGACTGGTAACACTTACAGTGACGTGCTGCATACACTGCTGTGTCATGTTTGTTTCTTGTTAGATGTTGTACAGGAATTGTTCGAATCAATGATTGTAAATTATTTTGATTTTTAAGGCTAGAAACTTCGATAACCATGTTTTCACAAGCAGTAGGAATCAGTTGAGGTCCTCTAGGTATCAGTGGCAGTCTTCACATTGTGTAAATGAGCTCATTTAGAAATCTGCTTACTTGGGCTCCTTGTTGTTATTAATGTTGGGATTTTCATAAAGTTTTGCTGACATTGTTTACAGAGAATTATTTGTACATAATGAGTTCTGTATATTTATAAAATGAGAAATAAAGAACAGTTATACAAAGTGATTTTCCTGTCGTTGTTTCCCATAAGACAGTAACAGAGTCATTATGTGATCTTCTGTCACTTGGACTGTACATTATTTACCCTCATCAACCACAATATTAGGTGGACTTTCATCCATTCATCCATTATCTATACAACGTTTAATCCTCACTAGGGTCGCAGGGGGGCTGGAGCCTATCCCAGCTGACCCAAGGCGAAGGTAGGGAACACTACACATAGAGACACTCACGTTTACACCTACGGACAATTTAGAATAACAAATTAACCTCAGCATTTTTGGACTTGTGGGAGGAAGCTGGAGAACCTGGAGAGAACCCACACTGCACGGGGAGAACATGCAAACTCCACGCAGAAAGATCCTGGGTGTCCTAACCAGGACATGAACCGGGGATCTTGTAGCTGTGAGGCGATGGTGCTAACCACCGAGCCACCTTGCAGCCCTTAGGTAGACCTCATCCATCCATCCATTATCTATACACCGCTTAATCCTCACGAGGGTCAAAGGAGGCTGGAGTCTATCCCAGATGACTCAGGGTGAAGACAGGGGACACCCTGGACAGGTCACCAGTCTATCACAGGGCTACACTTAGAGACAGACAACCAAGCACACTCACATTCACACCTACAGACAATTTAGAATCAACATGTTTTTGGACTGTGGGAGGAAGCCGGAGAACCCAGAGAGAACCCACGCTGCACGGGGAGAACATGGAGACTCCATGCGGTGTCCTCACCAGGACACAAACCAGCGACCTTCTTGCTGCGAGACAACAGTGCTAACCACCTTGCAGCCCTAAGGTAGACTTGTGAAATCTAAGCCAGTCTAATACAACAGCTCTGTAGTAAATTTAACTTCTATGAAGCTTCTACATTTTCAAGTTTTGCTAAAAAAGCTAATAATTCTACTCTATTATTGAGGTCATAGTGGGTGGTGATGGCATACTGTGCTACATTTTAAAGCGTTTCTATTATTTTGCATTCTTGTATATGTTCATAGACTGGACAGGAAAAGTGTTTGACAAATAAATAAATGTAAATAATGTCTGTGTATCCTAAAGAGGGCTAAAACATCTATTTGAATGCTTAAAATAAAAGACTGAACTGACATCTGCAGAGCTGTCCTGGAGTTATGAGAGAACTTTAAGGACTTCTTATCCATGCCAATTGCATGGCTTCTACCCCTCTGGTTTGGCTTTGCTCCAAGTGACCACGGACGAGAAGTCCTTGAAACTGATCATCTACAGCATTAAAATTGCAACAGCTGCTTTTTCTGATGAAGGTCGTGGTGATGCGGTTCGAAAACTTGGCGATACTCTAAAGGACCTTGAGGTTACACAACTTCAGCTTGAAGTCCAAATATTCCAAATTAAAGGTTCTTTCCCAGTTTGTTTTGGGTTTTTAGTCACTGTAGCAACAAACTACATCAGTGTCTCAATCTCTAGTTGTAGCATCTGCTTGTAACCACAAGGTGGACCAAGTTACACACTTATCAGCCACCCTGAGGACAAACAATGATTCCACACTCATTATGAAGCTTTTCCACAGTGTTTAGACGGTCCAGGTGGTCTGGGGTCACTTAGGCCAAGTAAACAGAGTCAACCTGTTCACCATGCAGCTTCATTGTGTTAGAATAAAACAGGCAAACACATATCAATTTGTGACAATATTTCAAATGCAAAAATGTTATTGTTCGCTTTTCGTGTGGCCCTTGTATAGTTATAAGTTTGTTGTAAGGGACCTTCTTTGTTACCTTAACCCTGTTTCTACGAGGGATCCTTTGTTACATCACCTCCCCGTGTTTGAAGTTTGTTTCTCCTCCGAGCATCTCATCTGGGCAAAGTACACAGTGGGGGCTGTTCGGTCTATTCACCGAGATGTGTGAGTGAGTGTATACAGGGGTTTCGGGTCATGTTCCCATGGTAACTGAGAGGTGTCTCACTGTGTGCCCTGGCTTCATCTGTCTCTATGTGTGTGTGTGTGTCTGACCAATTATCCAAGTAGGCTGTTATCTCCTTTCAGGGAGGTTTACATTATCACCCTGACAGCCGGGTGGTCTTTGGTCAGGTGAGTCGCCACAAGCTAGCTACACCAAACACAAGAGCCGAGGGAGGGGCGAGGTGGACGGATCACAAGAGGCGAGATAAGGAGCTGACTGACCGACAAACAGCGAGACAGGATGGATGAATGGATGGGACGGGGAGGGAGAGAAGACAGGGGCAGGGGCAGGGGGGATGGAGTGAGGAGATAAAAGCCAGATTATGTCAACAAACAGCCAAGATTTATGCGAAGCACTGATAGCCTGTTACCTAACATGACGGTAAATGGGAGTCGGCTTGGCATTAATTGCCCCCAAGACCTGATGTACACAAGGCTCAGTGTTGTTGGTAACAGCTGTACCTTGGTTTCTGTCTGTGTGTCTTCTTTCTTCACTCTCAGTACCACTTGAAACATTTTGCCCAAAAGCGTAAACAATTTGCACATTCTACACGCACAGACTTTATGCATATTTTATAAAAAAAATACACCAACGTGTCTTAAATCCACAGCAAACATCAATATTTGTTCACGGCCTGCAGCGTTCTTTGGTTTCTCTCAGTTCGGCATAACAACTCATCATTTACGTCAGTAAAGTAGCAACTGTAAAAATAACAGTAGACGTAAATACCCTTAAAGAATCTAATAAAAAACTATTCATACTGCTGAATGTGAGCTCGTGATACAAGAAGCAGTTGTTATAATTAAGGAGCTACAGTTGATATCTTGAGGATCCACTGAG